TACAAAGCATGTAATGTGGGTTAACTGTGGAGAACAGTTGTATCTGACAAAGGCTGGATTTTAGCAAGAGCATATCTGCTGATCCACCTAATGCTTTTTTCCCAAATGTAATAGCTAATGCAGAACTGAGTGAAATGATATACAAGTAGTTGAAACTCGGGTTGGATGCTATCATAATACATTTTATATATATATGCTATAATTATATATACCCTATATGTACCAAACTTTATCTAGATACTCATTTGTCCTGACATAGTACATGTGAGAAATAAATTCAATCCTTATTTTGAAGCTCAACTTCCAGTGTTTGAGGCAGTAACAGTCACAGGTGGAGTGATCTCTGGGATGTGAATCTTTCTAGTTACTGAATACTTGCCTCAGTTGTTATTCCAAAAATTAGCATCGATTGGGATGTTTATTAATATCTTAAGTATTAAGTCATGTCAGCAGAAGAGTAAAAACAGCTGACTAAGCTTAAAACTAGAAGTGACTAACATTCCCTTGAAAACAGATTATATTGAAATTTACCCTGGCACTACATTAATAAGCTGATGGTAAAAATGAAACAACTTAGAATCAGAGCACTACAAATGACTGTAACATGCAGAGTGTTGCTAAATTGTTCTCTTTCACAATGAACATTTATAAAAGCACTTTAATGTGCTGAAATGATAAATATTCATATGTTGACAATGGCACTTAATTTTGCAGAAAGGTGTCAACTGGTGTAACCTAATATTCAGAGAACAAATGTGATATGTGTATAATTTCATAGTGGAGTGAGGGGTGGTGCCATCATCCTTAAAGACCCATGTGCTTCATTCTGGCAGGTACCTATATAGAGATGAGGTGTCCTTTCATTTTAAATCTTCTCTGACTTCAACAGAAGTTTTCTGATTAGATCTTCTAATATCTGGTTCAACTGCTTTCCATCTTACATTTTTTCTTAATTAGATAAAAAATCTCATTCAGTAATCAGAGAAGTGTGCTTGTATTCACCAGGATAAAATTTCTGTATTTCTGTTTATATGTTTTGTAACTGATACATTGTCAAATATGAACTAGAAGGTGAAAATATTTATTTTTTTTTATTAATCTAACATTAGCTTTGGAAAATATGTTATGCTTTTCATATAATAACACAGCTGCAGAGTATGGGTGTGCTGATGTGGAAAAGTGACGTGGTTGAAACCTTCCAAAGAATGCTTATCAAATACACGTGAGACTAAAATTTGGTTATCTATAATTAAAGAAGGGAAGAATAAGAAAACCAATCAACCATAGATCTTTCCCTTAACCCAGTTCTGAGAATCCTGTTAATATTAAGGAAGTGTAAAAGTGAAGATACGTTCAATTTTGTGGAGAATGTGAGAGCTGTTGAATAATCTAAGTGATTCATGGTTAGACCACTGTATTTGCAAATTCACCCTTTTTCACTTGAATTGCACTTTTTTGGTTTAAATTACCAATTTGAACCAAGAAGTTCTCAGCGTAGAAAATGAGGTGGCCAAAACAGACAGCCTGATCTGAGGGTTTGTTTGTTATCACACGGTGCAGAGTTGAATTAATGTATATGTATTTATGTATAAATATATGGGCACTGTTCTTGGACACAATGCAGTCAGAGCTTGATGTCAGAGGTAATATTGCCCAGAATTAAAAACCCTTGAGGACCTAATAATTAATAGATCTGATAGCTGTGTCTTGTATCTCCATTCTTCAATCCTTTCTTTAAAAAAATACCTTCTGATCGTGTTACAACCACCCTCCCCCCAAAGGTGAGGGTAACTGAGGTTCTTGTAAATATATCCCTTGGGGCAAATTAGAGGGAATTAGGCACTGGATGAGTGGTAGGTGTGTGTATATATGTATATATTTTAGAGCAATATGGTTGCAAGGAGGCACGTAGCTGTTCTCATTATTATTATCTATAGTAATACAACAATATAAAAGTATAAAGCTGTCACTTAAGAAAACGTCTAAGGAAAAGAAAGAAAGGGCAAGTGGAGAGGAAAGATATCCCCATCCTTGGATCCAATGACAAGACTTGAGTGTTGCAGTTCCTTCTGTGTCTTTGGCAGTGTTTGAGATGGGCAGCTGTGCTCTTTAAGTCCTTAGAAATAGTTCTGAGGGCTTGGTTTGGTTTGTGACTCTCTGTGGTAAGCTGATTGTTGGCTTTTTGTCTCTACCTCTCTGCATAGTGTGTCATAAAAGATAACAAGCGTGCATAGTTTACATTAATTTTAATATAAGGACACTGGAAATGTCCTAGATTGTGCAGATTGCTGTTTATCAGGTAATAGAGTGAAACCTGTGCCAACTGAATGCCCATGGGGCAGCACAGCTGGCAGCTTGGGACAGACAGATGACCATTAAATGCTCGAGCTCACCTGGAATTTGGGGAGAGGGTACTTCAAAGTGATTGTTAAAACACAGCATTACCAGCAGCACATAATTTTTTTTAAAACACTGAGTTTGATTTTAAACAAAAGCCTGACGTATCAATAGCAAAAAGAGACCATCAAGACTAATGCACATTTTGTGTTGCTTGAAAAGTAATGGAAGTGATGACCTTATTGAAACGACTTGATCACTTCAGCAGGAGGAAATTCCTCCTTGGCATCTGTTCATTGGCAAATGAAACTGGGGGTATTCTCTGAAGCTTGTCAGGCTGACTGCACATAATGTTACTGCTCAGGTGAGCCAGCTCTGTTACAGTGATGTATTCCTTCTTTAAAATCCCATGCAGCTGAAGTGGTAGCCAAAAAAACCCTGTAGATGTTTCTGTATAAAACATAAGCAGGATATTTTATTTATATTGCAGGTAAGGACCAGAATGCTTATATTTATCATGTATTCTAGCACTTGCTAGATTTGATTCATATAGTTCCTATCATACAGTTTGATAGAAAAATTTGAGCCAAACCCTCCATGTGAATAATGCTAAATCCTGTAAGGTTCACAGTCTTGGCATACAGATTTTCCTGTAAACCCACATGTGTTTGGCTACGTGACCACTATTAGAGAGAACTTATTTTTCATCACAGAATGGTTTGGGTTAGAAGGGACCTTAAAGATCATCTAGCTCCAACCCCTCTGCCATGGCAAGGTAAACCTTCCAGCAGAGCAGGTTGCCCAAAGCCCCATTCAGCTGGCCTTGAACTCCTGTTTTGATAACATCAGGTATCCATACCAAGGATAACTCCAGTACCTAGGAGTGCTGTTTAGTGACCAGCAGGGAAGCACAGCTCAATCCTGGAGTCATCTCCTTTCACTGACTTCACTCCTTGTCTTACTCAGAGGTGCTTCTTGTTGCCCCACTAGACCTGCAATTTTTCCTTTCCTCTTGTGGGTGAAGGTAATCAAAATGATCCAAACATAATCAAAATGGTCTGAAACCGCCGTTTCTTGAAGTAACATTCATCCACACGCTGAAAGAAAAAGCAAAACTCCCCAAGGGAACTATTTTACTGGTGAGTTTTTTAGTCTCCCAGCTGTGAAATGCGTCAGAAATATCGTGGTTTTTATTTTACCATCCTGGGAAAGCTTAATTTTTGTGTGTGTGTGTAATCTCCCACCTCTTTTTCATTTCAACTTTCCTCCAAAAGAGAGCTTCTACTGTAAAATTCAACAGCTGACCTAACAGTTGTGCTCAAGACTTTAACTGAAAGTGTTGAGTGCTTTGTTGCAAACCACAACACCTCAGTTCTTATTGTGCAGCAGAAATGGTTTCATCAGAAGTGCAGACTGAAAAAACTGTATACTTTCTAGTTTGCAACATTCTGTCAGAGCTGAATGTAATTATTACTGAAACTTCAATATAATATTGAGATTCTTTGCTGAATGTCTTGTGTTGATGAAAGAGATGTTTTAGTCCCTGTAGTCTCTTCTAGTTGTTTATAGCATCATTTAATACAGAATAATTTTATTTTTTCATAAATATCATATATATTTTATGAGCTGTCTATTTTTAAAGTAGATAGTACTGATATTAGATAGCAAATATAATTTGCTTTTCTGGGTTTCTTTGCTGAAGTGTGTATTCAAAATCCATTACTGTTAAGATTCCTGCTTAATTTCAAGGTCTTGAATCTCATGGTAAAATGCTAGTGATGTGTTGCAAATCTCAGTTCTTTTCCCTCCCTTTTTAGAAGCAGAGGTACTGCAAGAAGGGGAAAAAAAAAATAAAATCAAGTTGTAATAGGAATAGGTGTTTCAATTCACTGATTGGTCTTCCTCAAAACAGAAATTTTAATGAAAAAGTATGTTGCTTTAGCATTAACTGTAATGTTTGCCTTTTTTTTCTGAAACAGAGTGTGAGAGTTGGGTTTGTATTTCGTTCAGTGTAAAGCAATATGAATTGGATTTATTTCACTGTGGACCTTATAAAAGCTTTAAAATATACGATTACATTCCAAGTAAAAATTACCACTTTGGAAAGGATACAATATTTTGATTTATTCTTTAATTAATAAGTAGTTTTGATTCCCCTGAGCATATTTGTCAATTCTAATTTATACTGTAAGGAGGTTTAAGCGAGAAGAAATTATGGAATGGATTAAACTTTACTAAGTTAAAATAGATTTGAATTGTTCTTCCTTCAGATTACTGGAGGTCTCAAAACTTCACACTTGCAAAGTTTTGCTTTGTTTCTTGCACAGAATATATCTTTTAAAGTAGGAAGAGTCTCACACTGTGTGCCATCACTCGTGCTAAATACATCCTTTCTGCCTCCTGCTCCTCCCAGACAATGCATCATTTGCAGTGTTTGGGTTTGATGATTTGCACACTCAGAAGCAGCACATCATTTTGACATCTAAACCACCAATTTATCTGTGTTAGGAGAAATCAAGTTATACAGGTGAACAGTGGGACACAGTCTAATTTGGAATCTATAAGGGGCGTTGGAATTAATTAAATTTGGGTGAACAGAGACTGTTTTCAGAGGCATTGACTAATGCTTTGAGATGATGTCATGCTTTTATTTTCTGTGTTAGACAGGGCTATGAAGAACTGGAAAGGCAGCTGAAAGAAGTCTTCAAGGAAAGGAGCAACATACTTCACCAGCTGCTAAAGACTTCTAAAGAACTTCAGGGAATTAAAGTAAACCTTCAGGTTAGGTTCTGTCTCAGTTTTTATAGAATTACTACTTACCTATATTACTTACTTATATTTTCTTACTGATATCTGTTAATTACAAAAAAAAAATATGTTTCTGGTTTGTTTGGTTTTAAACATTAAATATGTGAATAATTATTATTTCGTCTATTTTGTTGGGTTTGTAGTTATTATAAACACAGTGTTTTCATGGCAAATTTTACCCTAGTGAGTTGGGCCCTCCCTTTGTCTACTCAATAGCCATGAAGTAACAAGTAGGTTGAATATGCTGCTCTGGATTTGAGGTCCCAAAACCACCAGATATTCAGCTAAGAGTGCACTTGTCTTTTCCCAGAGGAGTCTGTTGGTGTGGTGAAAACTCATTATCAGCTGAGATTTGTCTCTGTGTTTCATGCCTTTTTAAGGGACGCTGTTTTTCTGACAACACATTTTTGTCTCCATGTTGATGGAAGCTAGATGGGAAAAATAAAAGGAGGGAAAGCACTGTACCTCTTCACAGGAGAATTATAGTGCTGTGTATCAGTACTGTGCTGTATTATATTATTGTGTTATGTTGTCTTATATTCCAGACTTCTCTGGTTTTAATTAATGGGGGTTTTTTGAGTGCTTTGTCACTCTTTATTGTTGTAGGGTTTTTCTTCTTACCTTTTAGGGAAATGTGCTTCTCCTTGAAGCAAAGTTATTTTAGAATGCAGCACAGCCTAAGGCAGTGTTCAGCAAAATTACCCTGTGAGATGTTTTAGGCTCAGCACTGCAGGCATCCAGATATGAGCAAAGAGCTGTAATATTATCTTCTGTATGTACACACTGACCTTTTTCAGACAATTCTAATGCTTTTAGTGATTTGGCTGTTTCTAAATGTACTTATTTGATGAGCTCTCCTTAATTACTGGAAAAACAGCTGTGTACATTTAGCTGTGCTTGAGTCACAATAAAAAAAGTCAGTCTATCCCTCCATTTTTCATAAGTGGTAATTTATTAACAGGGGGCAAATTAATAATTTCATGGATGAATAATTAAAAATCTCTTTGCTAATAGAGTTTTTTCATTGCTATCAGTCTTTGAAAAATGACGAAGCATCAACCAAAAGTGACGTACAGAAACTCCTAGAACTGGGAATAAAGCAAAGGTAAGACCCTCACCTCCCTCCTTCTCTTGCCATTTCCTGACTGAAAACTGCCAGACTGGCAAATTTCACCTTTCTTTTGCTTTATAAACACTACTGTGTTCCAGAGTCTGCTGGTTGTAACAGCGAAAGAAAGGCAGGGAATGCTCTTTTTGAAGCAAATAATGGATTTGCTGATATTGGACATATGGTAGGAAAAGATACTAAAATGCTATGAAGAGACATCTGCTAAAGGAAGGCATTTTGAATTTCTCAGGAAGATTTAGTCATGAAATTTTCCTTAAGAAAGAAAATCAGACTTTTTAGAAATTTAAATTGTTAAAATGTCTCAAGATCTGAATTTAGAGATGATGATATAATATATTTATATATATATTTACTCAGGCCTCTTAATTAAATGTTCATGCATGCAGACACTCCAAATCAGTGGACACTGTGCAAGGAGTACTTGCACTGGATGATCTATGAGGAAAGGATTTAAGAGGAGAGAGAAGTATTCACTTCAAATTATTCATTGAGCACTTAAAAAGTAATGAGTTTCCATGGCTGGGAATGCAGGTTCCCAGCCTAGTCCTTAGTCTCAGATTTCCTAGTGCTTCATTGCAAGTAAGTCTCATCATTCTGTGTCTCTTAATTCTTGGAATTCTGACCAGCAAATAGAAACATCAATACAATTTTAATAACAAGAAAACATAACTATAGTGACTGCTTTTGCTGAAAAGATAGTATATAATGTATGCATCTCGACTTCATATTTTTCCTTAGTAAAAACATATAGTAAGAAACTTTATTAATTTCATACTTCTTTCATTGTTAGAAATGCAATAATTAATTTCCATGGCCACGTTATTGTTGATGTTGTATTTATTAGAACTACATAAGAAATTGCATTGTTATAGAGAAGCTGTGTGAGACAACGACCTTCAAGTCTTCAACACACAACATTTAAGATCCACACTACAATACCAGTAGAAGTCCTTATTTTTACTGTGATAAAGGAGGGTCAAATACATAAGGATCTTTCAGGTATTCCAGACTAATTTATTAAATGATAAAGGCAAGACTTCAGCTAATGTCCTATTTAAACACTCAGGTGGCTTGGGTGTAGTTTAAGGTGGACATCTCAGCTGTCCTTGGCACAGACTCCATCCTTCATCATACATGGAGGTGGTTTTTTGGTGGTTTGATTGTTGAGCAACTTTCTTTTATGAAATGGGATGTTTAGTAAACAGATAGTCGTTGCAGATGGGAAAACTGAGTCTGCTAAGAGAAAATTCTACTACATACTACAAGTATGCTTCCTAATCTCTCCCTTTAAGCACCACTTACAGTCTCTCAAGGTCCACCCAAAAATACCTGTTGACTTTTGCTTCTTGGGAATCCAGCCACTGAGTATCCTGCACAAAAGCAGCTCCCAGAGACAGAGACTAGATCAGTGCAACCTGCTGCTGAGCAGCCCACCCCCTCCTTCAGAAAATAAAAGACAGTAATAATAAAATAAACAGGACAGTACAAGAAAGTGCCTTGGAGCTACTGCTGTGGCCAGATATTTACAGACTTACTGGGTTTCATTTCCAGGGAAGTGTAGAAGTTCAGCGTGCGAAAGAGGTGTTAAAAATTGTACCAAGGCATCCTCCTCGTAGAATTTCACTAAGGAAAGGTCACAGTTTATTTTCCAGGAGCCTCAGACTGTGTTTCATCTGCAGTAAATCAAGAATGGTGAGCGTAGTGTTATGCTCTAGATCTATTTATTATTGAAACCAAAATTCAAAATACAGCCCAATGTTAATCTTATGATCTTTCTTTGGACAAACACGAGCTGCATTTGATGTAAACACAACTTTGATTGTGCTCTACAACGATGATACAGTAAAGTTTAGAGTGCTAGAATCCTCAGCTTGTGTAAGTGAATTTTGTTCTGCTGACTTCAAATTAGATTTTTTTAAAAAAATTCCTTCTGTGTAAATTCCTCAATGCTTCCCAAGTTGCAAGTAAAACTTGGTCTCTTACTATAACGCCCCAAGTTTTATTCTTTCTGTGCATCATGGGCACTTGGAAATCATGGCATCTGTTTGTGCTAATGGAGTATTGGTTTCATGCTGCTCAATCACTTTTTCAATTAAATCTGCTCTGTACCAGCATTGCCGAAATGGCTGAAAGTAGTAGGGCTGTCAGCTAGCAAGAAAGATAATCCAGCAGCTAACAAGTTTTGTTCTTGTATAAACTAAGTGGTTTCCATTCCAGTTCAGTTTTCACTGGGCTAAATTATTATGTGTGTGTAAACCCAGTTTTGTGTTGATCTTTGCTGGAAGTTCATCCGTGCAACCAACAGCCCTGAAAAAGCTCTGCAGCTGTTTTGAAATATGTTACTCCACTACTTTGCCCCAGCTCCAAAATGTGTCATGTGCTGTGGGTAAAAAATTCTTGCAATGTGGAGAAATTCTCTGCATCAGTAATGCAAAGGGTTTTTTTTGTTTCAAATAAAACCCAATCCAAGTAATTATCCTGGGTTTTTTTATTATTTTTTTCTTGTATGCCAGAATCTTCTACTGAATGTTGTGTCTCCTAAAAAGTGCAAAGTGAAGGCTGAATTTTATCAGAGCATGATTTATTAATTTATTTATTTTAAAGCAGGTATAAATGCTTCTTATTGACAATAGTATGGCTCCATGTCAATGCATTTTGAGTAGCCCAGTTTCCTCACTTTTTTGGTGCCAGTCCTTTTTTGCTAGAAATGATACACTGACAGATGTTTTGCACAGCAGGCTATTCAGCAGATACAAACAGTGGCTAATTTTCATCATAGCTAATTTTTGTCTTCTATTCACACTGCAGTTCCTGGGGTTGTTATGACTTTATTCAGAAGGCTCACAGACAAAGTACATCTGTCTGCTACTCTGAATAATTAAAAGTGCCCTTTCTTCAGTCTGAAGAACTATTTCCTGATGGACACTTGTGTTGATGTTTGTGTTTTTTGTGTTTCCAACAAACCAGGGAAGAAATGAAATCTCTCCAGGAAGCCTTTCAAAAGCAGCTTAAAGAGGCAACAGAGAAAGCAGAGAAGCAGCAGGCTACCGTGAGTGATTCCCTGTCCTTCCCTCATTACTTTTGGGTTTCTTCTGTTTTTTTTTCCTTAATCTTGCCTTGAGAATGTGTTATTAGTTTAAATAACTTTTTATGTAAAAAAGATAAATGGATTTCATGTATGTGTTAGCACTCTGCAAGCTGCAGAAAAAAGGAGCTGAAAAAAAATGTTTATATGTTCAAAAGCTCTAAGATTCCCTTCTTCCCTATTTTCTGTGGGATTTAGGGATGTGTATAAGCTTTGGGAGTCTGGTGGTCTGGAGACTTGGGCCTAAATCCTCTCCCCTGGTTAGATTACCTTTATGGACCCTCCTATCTCATCCAAACTAATGTACACTGTCATACATCCACTGACTTTTTTTGAATCACTACAGATTTTCAGCAACAAAATGGATAATGAAGTGTCAAGTTTTGACCATACTAAAACTAATTATCGGTGTAGGAAGGTATTATTAAGAACCATTAAGATTTCATGCTTTATTGAAATTCTGTTTCTAGATAAATTGTACAATTTTTTGTGTAGCAATGTCGTGTTTTGGAGCATAAATTGCCACATTTTGCTATTGCAGGAGAAAAAAAAAAAGTAGAATCACGTTTACTAAGGTGTAAAAAGGAAATTTTTCCTATGTTGGTTAGTAACATTCCTATAACATGGACACCACTGAGCATAAGTTGACTAGACAATCCCCAGAGGTTCCTTCAAACCTTAAATATTCCTTGATTTGAACTCTGTACCTGAAAAAAAGCTGCTAGAAGGGTTTATAAATCTATTTTTTGTTTTGTATTGAATAACCACTGATTTATTTATTAAGATCCCACTGCCTTCCAGGTCCACAAAACAAGAGTTCCTCCAAGACAATGGTTTAAAAGTAATTATTAAATTTAGCAAATACTTACAATGATGTGATTTTTATGTGGCTTTATGCCCTTGGTGAACAAGTTGTAAGAGTGCATGTTTTACATGCTACCTTCTAATTAGAAACAGTGTAGATTTTGGATCAGACTATTCCTTTTGCAAGTTTCTGTCAATTAATATGATTTTTGAAAACACATTTTTTTTACCTTTGTTGCTCAAAAGTCTGAAGTGTAAAGATACTTTTTTATGTGATCTTGTGTCTCACATGTATTTAGTGGATATTTGGTACATGTAATTTTGTCTAGAAAAAAAAAAAAGAAACTTCTTTCTTCCTGAGAGGTGGAGAGAAGTAATCAAAGCTGTATTGAGCTTGGAAAGGGTAACATATTTTGTGGTTTTTTCTCAAAAGCTAGGGCAGCATATATCCGGAAAAACAAATCTGCACTTCAGTTTTAAGGTGGTTTTGTACTGAGGCAATCTATATAAAATCACAGAGTCATAGAATGTTAAGAGGTGGGAGTGTTGTCTTTTTTTCGGGTGCACGAGCATATTCCCACTGACTTTAAAAGCACAATGAATTCTAGTCCTACAAATGAAAGGTGGAATACATATTTCATTATTTAATCTTCATATTAGATTTTGATATTCAAGACTAATTCAGTTGTGGGTTGGTTACATAAATCTCAGATGCAGTGCGTGGATTACTTGCTTTGTTTGTTTTTGTGATACAGCACTTCCTTTAATTTGAGCAACACTGCCTTGTGTAAATTCAGTCCCTACCCTAGCTTTGGGAAGAGCACAAGATTTGTTGTACACAAAATCTGCTGTTAACTGTGAGCAAAATACCACCTAGTGCAGAAACCAGAAAAAACTCCTCTGAGTTTATAGCAGAGCTTGGCTTGGAGTGTGGGCAGATGGTTAGAGAAGCTGAATTCTCAATACTTGCCACTAATAGCATATTAAACTTGCTGCTAATTCTGAGGGAAGCAGAACTGTGTCCTTGGTTTGTGATATTTACTTCTTTATGCCTCGGGGTGCAATGTACATAATGAGGCTCGACAATACAGCGAGACTGAATGAATATTTAAAAAGCACGTCAGGATCCTCACCTGAAAACCGCAGTGGAAATGGAAATAGATATTATTGCTGACACACAACGTTACTTTATACCTGTTTTTTTCCATGTGTTTCACATTTTTCTGGAAGCAATGTGAAATCTATGGAAGAAGGTCTAGGCATTTTGAGGCAAGACTAGCTAGAGGATAGGAGCTTGAATCTAATTCTAATTTAATGAATTGTGAGACTAGCTTCTAGCCTAATTAAAGCACATCTTATTCTATAGGATTTGGTGAAGTGAATCCTGATTTTCATCAGAGTCAATAAGAGTAGAATTACATTTCTCAAAGACTAATAAAACACTGGTGGGAGAGGGAAGGATGGAAATATATATTTCTTTTCTGCACTTACCATGAAGGCACAGTACAGTGCTTACTGTGGGTATGTTAATTGGCTGTTTATATTCAACAGGCAACACCTGCCTGAAGGTGTTCCTTATTAGGTAAATGTAGAAGTGTAAGTAAGAATTTACAAGAATCAAGTCAAATTACATGCAAAGTAACCTGGGAATTATTCAAGGACTCTGACCAAACCAAAAGAACAAAGGACACAGCACAGCAAAACATGAGACTTTGCATCCATGTCTTCTTGTGTAATATATGGCAAGGCTCTTCACTGTCCTTGCACAAATGATTCATCAGAAAGAGAGTTATCAGTGTCCTTGTGCTTGCTTTTCCATTCTTTGACCCTTTAAGGCTGGAGAAACCAACAACTAGCCAAGAGCTAAAGAAGCTGCTGTTCTGAGCAGCTGCTGACCTGTTGGTGGGTACCAACTCTACTTGGTGGGTGCTGTCTCAGAGGGCAGCCAGTGGAGCTGCTGCTGGGTAGTAACAACTTTCTGAGGGTAGAAGCAGCAGCTCAGGCTTAAGGAAAGTAAAAGGACGTGTAAAGACACTCCTGCTCTTTAGTAATCACACTGAGGGCTGACCTGAGGGGCCTTAACACTCCCTTTCTGGATCCTTCTGGATTGTCTTCTGCATCTGGAGCGCTAGCACACGAAGAACAGCAGCACTCTGCCTTGAGATGGGGCTTTTCCAGGAAATTTAGGGCAGACCTCAGACACATTCAAGCCTATTGTGTCAGCTGCTCTGCCTGGGATAATAAAATATGCAGAGAAACACTAGTTATGATAAGGATGCTTTAAATTGACTATGCTACCTAGTTCAACATATCTCTGAAACAGTCTTTGGTGTGAAGGAGTTTCTTTATAGACTATCCCACACTAGAACTGTGTATTATTTTTATACCAAAAAGCATTTCAGAAGGGCCATACTGGGTTTAGTTATACAATGTGCCTGTAAAACGTGTAAGACATTGTTCCAGATAACCTGGTGTCCTCTTTAACAATCAATGAAGGTTAACAGAGCTTTTTTGTGCTGCACTTAACATCAAATACCTAAGTCATTTTTAATAAGTTTTTGTAAAGTGAAAAAAGATATTAATAATGTCAAGCTATTATCTCTAAATGTGAAGTGGAACCACTTCTTCCACAAACAGCGTTAGAGGCCACAGACTAATTTTCACTTTAGTTAACAGAAAGGCACAGGACAAATGGCATGTGTAACCCTAAAAGTGTTTTATTTTGTTTGGGTTTTTTTTCAATGAATTTGTAGAATAAGTAGTAATTCTGTATTTCTTCATTGGGTTAAAAGGCTCTCAGAGCTTCTTGGAGAAGGGCTCTTTGCTTTGCTGTACTTGGTGCTAACTGCTTGCATGCTAAGAAATAGCCATATTTTTAGCAAGTTTGTAAAGTTATTTCCCATTAACTGCAGTTAAAGTTTATAAAAAGAGCTGGATAGCTCTGGATGTGGGAGAAAATAAAGTATGAAACATGGAAACACTCAAAAATATATTGTCTAAAGTAAGCTTAGTCTACCTTTTATATGTTGTTCTGTTAGTATTTTATGTCATGTTAGCAATTTTTAAGAAGATACGTTGATGGAATTGTTTGACAATACAATTACAGTGCTGTCTGTCAAAATAAAGGAGAAAATAGGTCTGTGTAATTTCCTTTTTCCCAGTTGCTCAGTGTTCACTATGAAAAATGAGAATTAAACAACACATTATGAATGACTTATAAAAAGAAACCATACCCAATGTGGTTATTTTGAAATCAGGAGGATATTTTCAGTAATAAAAGGCTAATATATGGGGAATATATTAATAACCCTAATAAATTAACCCTAATAAAGGCTAATATATGGGGAATTTAATTCAGTGTTACCCTCACGCCTGCGAGATTTTTAATAAAAAGATCAGATGTTCTTTTCACTTCAAAAATATTTATTTTGTTTAGTAAAAGTTTTTATGATTTTATGTTCCCAAAGTCCTAAATGTTTCTTTGACAAAAGTCTCTTCTACTAATCAAACTGTAACTTGCAGCTTAAAAGTTACATCCACGTAAGAAATAGGTAAAAAAACTATTTAGCTCTGCTTTTAATAGTATTTAACACTTCCTGTCTCTGGGATATGGAAGCACTGTCCTTGCTTAGTGTTGAAGAGTTTAGCCTCAGAACAACACATTTTCATCAGGTATTTTCATAATTACAGCACTTAAAGGGAGACAACATGTGAAAAGTGCTGAATGTCAAACAAGAACAAAGCGTGGGTAGAAGGGAGGAAGAAATGCAGGAAGTTTTTTTGTTCAATTATTTATGTATTGTCCCTCTTAATTTAGAGCTGGGTATAAATGCCTGTCCTTCTTTATTATGCTATGAGGATTTAGTGACTCGAAGCAGAATTTTTACATCTCTTCTGGAAAATGGTGTTATGTCTTGTCCTTGAGACTGACTAAAAGCACCGTGCAAATGGTCTGGTACACACTGATCTGCCTTAAAGCATGAAATTATCCACACAGGCACACTTCAATGGCTAGATTAGGTTATCTCTGTGTGGGCTCCAGTAGACAAGCCATATAAACCCCTCCTGTGTAACCCTCCATAGCCATACCTCGTGACTAAGTGGCCCTTCAGCTGTCAGAAATTTAGAGGACCTTTAAAAATGCTGTTATAATATGAATGCAAAAATGAATGAATTCTTAATTAATACTGAAATTATTCTTTTTAATGTTGTAAAAATATCTTCTAATTATTCAGATAAGCTTGAACAGTATGTTTACACTCTCTAGGATGTCCATATCAGTGGTATAAAATGCATGTGTGTGTGCCTAGTAATCAACAAAATTACTGATTTAACCAACATATATTGCTGTTAAATTAATAGTGCTGGATTGTCCTAATTATCTCTTCCCTAGAAGATCCAAGCAATGTAGAGATAATAATTTCGGTGTCAAATCTCATTAATTATTTCATATATATTCATAGTTAGAAGCCAAGTGCTTTGAAGGCATATTAATATTCTCCTGAGCGTTAGGTCTAAGAAAGGGAACACTCTTTAATGGAGGTCAGTATATTATTTTTGTCAGTATTTAGTGGTAGCTGGCAATACTTCTGAACAGCTGAAAAAAACAAAATAACCATGCAAATAGCTATTTTACATTTTTCCCCATTCATCTTGATCTCATATTTTCGATTGTGACCTTTATTTTTTGTTGTGCAAAATCTTCATGTTTATTATCTAGTATATATTGACTAAATTTCAATAGTTTTGTCCTTGCCAGGCAGGTGCTGAATATGTTTGTCCTCTGATAAAGCATCATCCTCAGTGGTAGCTGGATGTGGAGTTAGTATTTCCACAGCCAAAGCACTTGGTATTTCTTTTACAAACTCTTCCTAACTTTTGTCTGTTTATGCATGTCAGGTGGCTCTAATCTTGTGCACTCCCTACCTACATTTCTGTCTTAAATGATAATGGAATTCTGTGACTTCCCTTTTGATACAAGTGAGGGTGATATCAAATTCAGTGACATTTTTCAAATTACTGACATGTCTGCTCAAGTTTGGACATAATTCTAAGAACAGCTGTCGTGTCATGTAGATTCAGCCTAATTTTTTACCTACACGACATCCAAACCATGAATCTTTGGGTCAATGTCTCTCCAATCTAAGTATTTTTTTCTTTACAGGGGTTTTATTTTTCTTTACACGTCTGTCTCAATGTCAGAATGGTTGTAGCTTCCCTCGAACTTGGATAGAGTTTTGCATCAACAAGGAGAGAACACAGCATAGGACATTGGGTAAACAGGGATGAGAATTTTGATAATTGAGGTATCCAAGAGCATATTCCTTCAAAATGACAGGAATGGGTTCTTTTAATCCTAGTTGTTATCAATATATTATCCTTTCTCCCATTGTATTCCATAAGCTGTGAGGAAAGCTCGGTCCTGAAAGAAAGTTAGACTGATTTGTAAAAAATAGTGATTTAAACTGTGTTTGATTAAATTCAGTCTTAAACCTAAGATTGGAATTCTGCTTTCCAAGGCAAGTCATCGAGTTAATTAGGAACTAGAGACCATATGTGAATGCTTTTACATGTAATACTCTTGATTCCACAGGTGAGTCTGATCAGAGTCGAGGTATTTATCTCATCAGGACCAGCCCCGTAGCATTCAAATCAAATAACTCTGCTAGAAACCTGCTATGATAGCTACATTCTTAGAGGGTAAAAAGAATTGTATGTCACAGAATCAGTTAATACTGTTGTAAAACTCCTTAGTTCTCTGAGGATCACATTGAACTTCCTTGTGAAAGATAAGCACCACATCTACTGGTGCAAAGCAAAAGTAAGTCTATTTACGTACAACGATTTTCTTCTTTGGATTGTAAGTTTTCTAGCAAATATGCTAAATGTTTGTAGATTTAGCAAATATTTAGCTGTGGCCTATACCAATTTGATATATAAGTAAAATTTTTGTTTGGTGGTCGCTTTTTTTTTTTACAAAGCTGCGAGAAGCATAAAAAAAATACTTCATGGTCACAACTGATGTTCAGGTACATCTCAACAACTCACACTCAGCGTGTCTTTAAACTTGCAGATTAACTTTTTGAAGACTGAAATGGAAAGGAAGAGCAAAATGATCCGAGACCTCCAAAACGAGGTAAGAGGAACATTTGATTGTCATCTCCATTCAGGCCTCTTATTGAAAGCAACTGTGGTTTGGCTTGGTATATAAAGCACATTTTGTTGTAGTGGGCAGACAAAGCACGGGTGAATTGCTCTAAATAGCAAAGCAAAAATGACCCTGTGTATTCAGAAATAGTATTTTATTGAATGGAACTGTTGACTCCTTGCTACGGGTGCTTGGTTTGATAACACACCTCTGGAACTCTTGCTGCTTTTTCAGAGGGGAAACAGTTCTGTAGGTTATTGATACAGAGTGAAACTTTGTTCACATTGTTATTACCTGATTTAAAAAGAAACGGCAAAAGGAGGAGAAAGGAAATACAAGCTCAGAACTGAGATTCTTAATAAAATTTTAAAACCCCTCACATTCTTAAAATGTTTTCTTAAGCTTTGTGAGCCATGAATATTAATGCCAGATTGATTTCAAAATTCCAGATAAAATATAAAACGTGATTTATTTAATTTTTATTGGTATTAAACTGAATTTAGTTTGAAATTTGGTCTTGGAATAGAAACATTTGGGCAGCATCATATTACTTTTTCCTCCTTATCTTTTTCTCTGCAAACAACTTGCCTAAATCAGGGTGTAGTTACCCTTTCCATTACTTCATTTTGTGAAGCTCTTTGCACTTGAAAATGTTATTTTTAATTTTATTCTTGTTCTCTTGCCTTTGTCTGTTTTGTTCAGTTCTCTTGCTTTTCTTCTGAGTTTTATATGTGTGAAAACTTGACATCCTTAAAGCTGTTATTTCACCTGTGATCACTGATGTCTTTGGTCTGTGAGAGTGTATATATATGGTCAATCTCAAAAATGTGAACATTCCTTTTTAAGTCACAACAGTGTCCTAGTTTCAGCCAGGAAACTTGCTCTCTTTTCCCACCTGTGTACCCTGGATGCTTTGCAACTGAGCCTGTTAATTATAATAAATCATATCAATCTCATCCTATTGACCAGCCCTAAAACAATCTTGTCTCTTATTGCACGGAAGGACATAAATAAATTCAAGCTGTCTGACTGATAATGATTTGCTTAGGTAGGTCAGGAGACTTCTGTAGTATTTACTGTGTTTGTAGGACATTTTGGAAAATCTGCCTTGAAAGGAATCTTTCTTTTTGGCACCAAAAAGTATTTGTTTCTCAATTTAAAGGTAGAGTGTTTCACCAGCATTTTAATTCCTGATATCCTCCTGTCTGAAGTTGCAGGAGCTGAGTAAAGTGGATGTACTGATGTTGCAAGCATTTCAGACCTGTCATGGGGCCTTTCAGATTAACATTCAGCTTGCATACCTACAATTTTATGTTTCCAGCTGTGGGGCAGTCTGCAGAGTGACTAAACATCTCTATCACTGCCTGAAAAAAAGAAGGGAAAATAAAATGCTCAACAGTCCTTCCACTCAAAACATAAATATGTTGTCTTGGATACCCACAGATGTGTCAGTTTTATGAACCCACTGTCCATTAATTTCTGTAAATCTGTCTTGGATATTGGATACCTCCACAACTCTTTACGCTATCAAATTCCCTCTCACTTCACAGTTTAAAGTTTTTTTATGTCATTTTCTGTTCTTCTCCCTTCAGCAAGTTTTTCTAAACTCTGAGTTGTTCCCTTCTTAGTTTTGTAGAGTCGACCAAGGTTTTATGAGCTTCTAATATAGCATTTTTTTAGCAGCTTCTAGGCACTTTGTATTTTTTTTTTTGGTCATTTGACTGTTTTTTACTGTTCCCCTCATTCATACATCTCTCTATTTCTACATCATCTCTTATTTATTTCTCTCCCTTTCAGGAGATTGAATGTCTGTGTGATGGGTTTCTGTGTGGTTTACTCTTCTGCCACAGTGGTACCTGTTACTGCACTTCATCAGCAGTTGCAAACACTACTTCCTCTTGAACTCAGCCCAGGGAAACCCTTGAGGAAAAAAAAAACCTGGAGAAAAAAAGCAGAATAATGTTTTGTCTTGGGGGCTGCAGGGCTGGCTGCAGCCATTTCACTGTGTAGCTTCTTCCAGTCACGTTGCAAATGTCTGGTGCTAAATGCCTCAGTCTGGTTGGGATCTCTGGGCTGTATGAAGAATGAAAGAGATTATTACTTCCCTTTAATATCTTGAAAAGTCCTTAAAGAATAGATAAACAAAGGGAAAATGTGTAAAACTACATAAAAGTAAAGTATAAACCTTTTAATATAGGAACTGTAACAGGATAAAATTTTCCTTTTAAGTAAAAATGCAAACTGAATGGTGACATCTATCAGATCATAAATATTTAAAGTGTGCTTTTGATATGTATCTCCTGGCACACCCGGTTGGGATTTCTGTCTGAGTTTTTAAGGAAGTACTTTGACTACAAAACAGCAGAGAAGATGGACAGTAATTTTGTGAGTCACTGAAGGAATAGTTTCTGGAGTCCTGCATAAATATTATTTGGGGCATCTGTGATTAAAGCTTCTCAAAATTTAAAAAAAAAAAAAAGAAATAGCACACTGAAAAACTGTAATTAGTCTTAGAGGTAGAGCAATGATTAAAATTTAGATACTTGTTTAGAGGGGAAGTAGAACACATCAAGCAAATAATACAAATTTCCAGTGTACCAAGGCCTTCAGTGATGTGTGTCCTAGTCTAGCTCACCTGATTCTCCTTTTTCCTCCATATATCCAAATTACCTGGGATTTAACTATCGATGAAATGTTCCTGGAATTACAAAAAAAAAAAAAAATCCAAGCCACAAAGAAATCCATCTGATTTGTATCACTCATCTTTTTTAGTTATTAAAATTATAAAAAATAAAGTGTGGGGATGTTTTACTTGGGAGAGGAAAAAGGCCACACTCATCCCTAGAGAAACAGTGAATTAATGTCCAGATACTTTAAATGGAACTCTGGAGCTTTCCAGTACATTCTACAAATGTTTCAAATTTGATGTGGGAATAAAAGGATTAAATCTATCAGGAGGAGCTTAATAACAAAGACATAACCGAGGGAAAGAGACTTCATATTGTGTGTAGCAAAGAGGAAATGAGGTGTAGTAAAAAAAAAAAAGTACAATAAAGATTTGGGCTTCCAGGTTCTCAGAATTGCATGAGAGGTGATAAAGGTCTTTTTCCTCCACACCAGCCCCTGCACCCACCAAAATGCCCCCCTTCCCAAGACACAGGGGTTTTGCACACCTACATGGTTAACAACTGCAATTATATGTAGTTAAAAAATTATAAAAGGTAGGGAAAAGTTCAGTGCAAGAACTTGATGATGCTCGTATTCAGATGATTCTTTTATTACTACCCTGTGCAAACACATTCTGGTAGATAAGTACTGGAAGAGCCTACACTAGTGTCCTGCTTCTGGGTTGGGTTGGGTTGGGTTTTTTCCTAATTTAATCAAATTATTTGAAATATATTTTTTTAATGATGACATCTTTCAAGATGTTCTGAGAGCTGTAGGAAAAGATTGTGGGTGCTGTTTATTCTACACTTATTTTAGGAAGAAAAAAAGAGTAGTAATTGTGATTAAAGATATATGTGTGTAGTCCTAGCATGCCCTGGAAATCAGAAGCTCCAGTATTTTGTTCTTGGCTCTGTCAGCTAAACTTGTCTTGAGAGAAATTTGATTTTAGAGCATTGCTTAGCCCTGTGCATCAGCTACAGTGTGGAAAAGGAACCAAAAGCTATACTAACTAATGGCTTTCTGTCAGACTCCTGTACCATGTTTACCAGTTCCCTAAAAGCAAGAACTAACATCAGTTTTTCTGAAATTAGACTGAAATTAAGATACAATTTTGAGGAAATATGTTATGTAAGTCCTCCCTCCAATCACATTGCTTTTAAAAATCTGGTTTGTTAGGTTGGACACGCTATACATTCAAGTAATTGATAGCATTTTATATGTAATTTTTGGAAGTGCTATCTGCATACAGATATATAGAGACAGAGAATGAAAGCAGAATAGCTGCTCTTGTTCTTTCAAATATTGCATTCACCCTCAGTTTTTGCTGCCAAATCGTGAATTTTGCAATCTCAGGCTCTCTCTTCCTGTAAAAATCATTCCCTGTTTAGTCCTGTTCTTTCAGCACATGCCCTACTGCCATTCAGCTTTGCCATTTGGAGGTATGAATAGATGACATTCCAGCTGAATGCAGCAGCTGTGATGTGTGAGGAGAGGACTTTGCACAGAAAGGCAATTTTCAGGCTATTCAAGGCTTTGGGGGGAAAAGAAAGTCGACAACAAATATAGTCTGTGGTAAAAAAGTGCCAGATAGAGAGAATGCTGATTATGTGGCTAAAAATCCTCCCTTTTTTAGAGGTCTCTGAGTACTTCCTGCAAATACGAGAAAATATCTGTCAGACTTGCAGCTGTAATATTGTGTGGATTGTGTTAATGTAGTCTAATAAAGGGTTGGCATGTAAATAGGTAATGCTGTTATTTTGAGAGGCTTCTATTATTGCCAAAGAAACCCAGAAGTCTGAAATGCAGAAGCACAGGTGGAGCTGAGAAGCTTGGCAAAAATGTGGAGTAAATTAGAACACGTATAAAAGAGCCACTTTGACAATTTTAACCACTGGAGATGGGCTGACACAGAACGAGAAACTCACTTCTATGCAGGAAATTATGCCAAAAGTGCTCTAAAAATAAAGCTGAAGCAGGATGCTCTGTTAACCCTTGTTTGTGTCAGAAAAATCGTGAGCCTTCACAGTTGCCATTTGGCATTCAGAACTGATTGTTTTGGTGCAGCTCTGAATCTGCATGTACATATGGATTAATTTCTAAAATGAATGGTTTTTCTACACTGAAGTGTGCAGTGCATTTTCTTAGTTTGTTATGAATTTCCTGCTGGTACACCTATAAAAGCCACCTCTTCTCTGCTGAGCAGTAGAGAATTGTTATTCAGGTTTTGACATGAACGTTGTAGCAGTCTTACATTAGACTTAGAAATGTGTATAAAATTGCTCTTATTTAAGCCATTTAATTAGGTTTTATTAGATAAGGAC